GCAGCCATTCTGCCTGTGCATGTGGAGGGAACTCGGTTTTCTCCTCCATTCTCTTTCTGCAGCGCAAACTGAGCCGTGCCGGCTGGGGTCGTGCTACCACCGCACTACAAGCTCACTTGGGCAATGGTCACCGCAGCTTTGAGGCAAAGTCTTAGACAAAGTGCAACTAAACTCAACCTAATGCCGTGTCACCAGAGTGGTGAACTCTTTTCTTCGGTTCCACTCCCAGTGTTCCTGGGTTTACCTTGGCCTTGGGAAGGGGTTCCACATTAGCACCAACTCCGTAGCGTGAGCACCCCAGACCCTACAGTGCTGCAACACATATCTTGCACCTTAAAGCACCAAGCACTGTACTGTGGGACCTCACTGGTTCCAGCACTTTCCGTTACACGCAGATTGGTGGGACGACTCCTGCACCTCAGTTGCTTCGTTGTTTGTACCTCTCCTCTTTACTTAATTCTTGTTAATTTATTTTTCTCCATCCACAGTGATGATTTTTGCAAGCAAATAAGAAAGTGGTGCATGTCCTATAGCTCTGTGGCCAAAAAGCTACCTCCAAAATGCGAAGAAAGGAGACAGAATCATTTCTTGCTGCCATAAGTAAGGAGGAAGCAACAAACTGAGGAAAGCAGTGTATGGGTTGAGCACCTGCCTGTATGGCAAATCACCTCAGCCCCACAAATGAACCTAGAAACCCCTGGCTACAGGGAGGGACTGTTACAAGCCTCGCTTCCCCTGCGAGCAGGAGGCGGACTCCGTGTTCTAGGCTGGACCTGCAGCTACCTTGGGGGTTTCTGCCCCAGAAAAGGGTTAGGAGATTAGGACAGTTATTGACAAGGAGAAGGTCCCTCCCTGAAAGAGAGCACTGTGCTTATGCGCAGTCGCTTGCTGTTGGCTCAAGATGGCTGAGCAACACCAGCTCACAGGAAAGACAGGCTGGCTAGCCAGGTCTTACTACCTATGTGTGGGGCTTTAAGGACAGGCCTACAAAACTCTTTGTATCCAGAGATCTCAATGACATTGGTGGGAGCCTGAGACCTCTGAAGTCCTCCCAGGAACAGCTCCAGGGAAGTCAGATTTCCCATGAGGTTGTAGCCAGGGAGAGTCAGAGGGTGCCAGGGACGCCAGGAGCGCTGGGAACCACATGAAGCTCTCGTTTCCTTGGGGCACAACAGGCCCGTTCCCTGCTGCCCTGCCCTGCGTGGCAGCTCTGCCTCTGGAGTAGGGGAGAGAAGCTGGTGGCAGCGCTGCAGCAAGTCAGGGAGGGATGCTGACCTGATCAACACAGAAATAACAAGAGTTCCTGCATGCCCGTTCCACCTTCACTAGTGCCCTGGACGGAGGGGCTGCTGCTACCAAGGAAGGCTGGGGAGCGTGTGTGGGGGGCAGCCGTGACAAAAGAAATAGACACCCCCCCAGCAATTATCACTCCTTGCCGACAGCAAGAGCAGCCAAGTCCTGCCCTACCCCGGCAGGTGTGGCTGAGTCTTATCCTCAGGGCATCTGAGAAGCCTTGACTCAGCTCTGCAGTAACAAACTGTTACT